CCGGATGTGGAAAACCGACACCGCGGATTTCTCCCGCGGTGCTCACCTCTTATAAAATCTTTACTTTTATCTTGAATTAAGATATACTTCAAAAATATTTCTCAATCTCTCTAAATAGTTTCAAAGGTATTTAAAAATATTTAATATCCAAAAAGTACTTAATTTGCACTTCTCAAATACCATAGATCTAATGTCTCCTCAAAATCACACACACATAATTCAAAATTCACACATAATCACATAATGCATAATAAGCATATAATACGAGGAAACAATTTTGGATTGGCAGAGAAACTTACCTGAAATCGCGACAAATCCTGAGCATCTACCTTGATCTCCCCTCCATTTAACCCTCATTCTATTAGAATTCAAAAATCATTATTCTATCAAATTATTAAAATTCCCATACCCTTATGATTCAATTTCCTTAATATTAATCTCTAATAACTGTCCATAACATTCATTTTATTTATTACTCCAAACAATCATCCTTATTCGTATTATATTGTCTTTATTATCACTATTGCTATTTAACTTTATTATTATTAGTATTCCAATTATTATTACTCCAATCCCGTGTTGTGCTAATGTTCGGCCCAGTGGACTAAAAGAAACAAGAAGAACGCAACAGAGTACGGAAGATTACAGTGCGCCAATCTCTGGGAAAGAGGTCGCTTCCGCCGGCAACAAACAAGGCAAAGGGGATTCCGGCTCGTCAACCCCGACGGGCGACGGTGGTAGGATTCTCCGACGTGAACTTCTTTCTCCTCCTGCGTTAGACCAGTCCGGCGACACTCCGGTGTTGTGCAGTGGCAACGGCTCCGGCTGGACTCCATCTCCCTCTGGCATTACTCGTTTCCCCCGTTGGCACTCCAGGCTGACTTCCGGCGGAAACTGGAAACGGCTCTGACAGAGTGGCAGGCCTTCTCTTAATTTCTTTTCTCTCTTTTTTCCCCAATTCTTTCCTTTGTTTAATTGCGACGTACGTAGATCGTATTGTGTAGCGTAGTTCGTTCGTAAGGGTTGTATTTATAATTCATCAGCGAGAGTTCTAGACTGCCCGATCATACGTTAAGAAATCTCCGGCCATTATTTTCATTTATTGCTATTTCCTTCTACGTATGCATAAAAGAATAACCGCGTACCGTTTCCTTCTACGCATACGAGCGTTTATACTGTACAATTATATGTGTATATAACGTATGTTAGTATACGAATGTATGTAGAATGCATGCCGTATGCATATTGGTGTATGTCATAGAAGTACTACTTACCTATTATTTATTTAATTTATTTACAAAGTTACATTATTCATATAGACTACATAATTATATCACTTTTACTTCCGTCTCTAACATTTTTTTTTCTATTTTTATGAGATAAATTATATCTAGTCTATTTTATTTTATCTCTTTACTTTCATTTTATTTTACGTCAGATAGATTATATTTGTTTTATTTTTGTTAGACAAATTATATCTGTTTATTTTAATTTCTAAAATTTTTGAGGTGTCACATGTCTGCAGTTGTAGCAGAGGTACTCTCCATTGCTTTCAGAAGGTTTGGTCTTCTGATGAGGTCTTCTGATGGAAGATGGACTCCTTCCATCTTTCTTCATAAACTTCTTAAACTTCCTGGCAAAAGCAGCCATATACTCATCAGATAAAAGAGTAGAAGGGTCAAAGTCACTTACCTTTGAGGTGCTGGCAGTGAGAGCGGTGGTGGTCCTTTCATCAGGAGCTTCCTCCTTCTCTTCATGCATCTCAAACTCATAAGCTTTGAGATCAGAAATGAGTTTCTCAGTGGCATAGGTCTTGATGTTCTTGCTTTCTTGGACAGCAATCACCTTCATCTTCCAAGCTGAAGGCAGTCCCCTCAGGATCTTCATGTTGACTTCTTTGATAGTGAGCTCCTTTCCAAGCTCAGAAATCTCACTAATGAGAATCAGCAGTCTCTCATGCATCTTAGCAATGCATTCTTCTGGCAGGAGTTTGAAGTCATCAAACTTCTTCATAGCAATGGTCAACTTGTTATCTCTTTCTTGTTCATCTCCTGCTCCAATCTCATCAAGCTTGTCCCAGATTTCTTTGGCAGTTTTGCACTTCTTGATTCTGTTGAAGTATCTTTCATCAATAGCCTTGTAAAGGATGTCCTTGGCTATATTATCTAGATTGTACTGCCTCTTCTCTTCCTTGGTCCATTCTGACCGGGCTTTCTCAATCATCTGGGGCTGAGAGTTATCAATGGAGTGAGCAGGATTGATCTTCATGAACTGGATAAAGGGTCCATTCTCCAAGACTTCCCACATTTCATCATGAAGAGCACACAGATGTGCCTTCATTCTGATCTTCCAATCATCATATTTCTGATCTGTGAACATTAGATGCTTTGCAAGAGAGTTATCCATAATAACAACTAAATAGAGGCTAAGAACAAGTGGATCTTTGTTCAGAGAGTAACCTAAAAGATTACAAGAACAAGGAGGCTCTGATACCACTTGTTGGTCCCGTTTAATATGGTAACCAGTCTAGAGGGGGGGGGTGAATAGACTGGTTGGTTTTTCAACTTTTCTCTAAGTCAAAAGTGACTTATCAGAGAAGGTCTGATTCTGATGACAGAGATAGGCTGGTTCTGATATCAGAACTGGCCTTGGCAGCGGATTCTGATCTGTCCGGGTAGCCTCAGAAACACTAAGGCAAATGCCTTTCTGATAACTCTGAAAACAAGATCTGCTGAACACAGTTTCCAAGTTTTAGAGTTAATCAGTTAATATCCTAAGTGCAGAAATATAAATAGCAGTAGAGTAAATGACACCGGATATTTTTATAGTGGTTCAAGGAACAACTCGTTCCTCTAGTCCACTGTTCCACTAGCTTTGAAGTAGATCGGTTACAAAGCTAATTCCTAGCACTTAAGAAGTTCTCCACGCCTTCTTCAAGCCTAGTTGCCACCCAGGATGCAGTTCCACGTCCTGATGGCTGGCCCTTTCACTCAGCTTCCCGGAAGTATCACCACTTCACTACTGCAGTTACTTGGACGCCCTTCTTTTCAGAAGATGTTCAGAAAACAGAGTTTTCTCCAACTTGCTTCGTTACAAGAGATATGTAGTTGAAGTTCTTGAAGTGTTGAAGAGCAGGATGAACTTTGCTCTTGTTGGGGATAAGAGATTGTGAGATTGAATCTTCCCAACGTAAGCTTTCTCTTGTTTTTGTGTTGTGGAGTTTGAATCTCAAGAAAGCTTGAAACTTTTGTTGAGCAAAAGTTGTAGCAAGGTTGTATCCCTGTTCTTCGGTGAGTAGCTTATATACTGGGGTTGTCTGCCCGTTGGAGGAGGAGACAACTGCATTAAATGCGCGTACAGTTGACTTGACCGCCGTTTTGGAAGGTTTCTATTTTTATAATATATCTTCCCGGATTCCTTGGTCAATCATTTGCAATCAATCCTTCAGCGTATCAGGCTCATTTAATGTGCATTAAATGCTTTCCTTTCATGCATAGTCTTCTAGCCGTTGGATGTTTTTACCCGTTGAACTCATAGCTGTTGGATGTTGCTTGAAATCTTCTAAGTGTTAGTCGGGCTCTGATCAGGTTCTTCTGACGTGTTGGATTCTGATGGCCTTCTGATGCGTTGAGTTCTGATGGCTTTCTGATCTCTGATAGAACTCTAACTCTGACTCTGATAGGTCCGCTGATGAGTACCTCTGATCTGTAGTTCTCATCGGTTATCAGATGTCCAAGTTTATCAGCAACTCTCATAGTGCAACTCTGATGGACTTCTGCTAAGAGAACTCTGATGGAGCAGTTCTCATAGAGCAAGTCTGGTCGAGCAGTTCTGATGTACTTCTGATCTGGTCCAAAATAGAGCAACTCTGATCGTCGACTACACTAATACTTACAATTTGAAAATTCTAATACATAAAATCTAATTTGGGGGTACTTTAAAATTCTAATCCTATAGCATCATCAAAATCTAATTACATTTATTCCTTACAGTTTGTTTCGATTCGGTTTCGGTTTTTTTCCAAAAAAATCATCATTTGATTTAAAATTGTTATAATACTTTGGGATCAAACATATACATAGTATTACATAAAGAATGCAAGCACACTACAACAAATAAAATAAAAATGAAAATAAATAAATATGTCTTGAATTATATGAGTATGCGAGAGAGATAAAAGTATATATTATTAATCTACATTGTTTGTAACTAGTTCAAAAAAAGTTCATGAGTATATAGTTATATACGTTCTATGTGATATAGTTGAGATGAATATTTATTGTTTCATCAATATGAATTCTTTAAGTTAAATAAAAATAAAAGTTAATTAATACTAATAACTAGTAAAAACATATTATCATCATTCCGTATAGCTACATTATTACGGACAATGAATGTGTAAATGAATTTATAAACTAAACTAAACATAACACAAACATTATTTCTCTAGCACAAGAAAACCAAAGACTATTAATGATATTAGGATTAGTTAGGATTAAAGCTTAACAATTGACAAATAAATTTTATATTTTAATTAGTTCGGTTTGTTCGGTTCGGTTCGGTTTTGAAGAGTAAAAACTGAAACCGAACCAAACAACTACGGTTCGATTCGGTTTTTTACATTCGGTTTCGGTTTGTTAGCGGTTCGGTTTTATTTGGTTACGGTTCAGTATGATTTGATTCGGTTTTCGGTTTTCGGTTTTTCGGACCCAACCCTACTTTTAATAAAATTGTTCTTTTCCAATTAATGCACTATTGCACTTATGATTTTCTTCATCCACTTTTTGTCATCCACGATACTCTTTTGCACACAAGTCCACTTTTTGCAAAGATCTTTTTTGACTTATTTACAAAAATGTCATTGTGTTTATAACTCACTATAATGCATATCTAACATATTTGGAGCCATTAGATCTTAGATTCAATGCATCACATTTTTTATATGGATGATTAAACGTGCATTTAATCTTTCATATTTATCTTCATTATTCATTTACCACTTAACAGTTAACACTTAACACTATCATATCATTGAATTTTGATTTTGTATCAAATAAACCACGTTATTGTACCAAGAAACCAAACATGGGTTGAAAACCCCGACGTCCATATAAAAAATGATAACATGTATGAATTTGTGACAATTCTACTCTCAATCCAACTTTCTAAGTATATTAAAAAGAAAAACACAATGCAAAATATAATCATCAAAGCAAAGATGATTATATTATTCTTCATATATTGACACTTGTAGGCTCCATCAGCAAAGACAAAATTCCACGAGCACCAAAATGCCGGTTCTTGGTTCATCATTGGAGAATATAATCGTGTAGGTTCCACCACCTACATAACTCTCGCATGGTCCACTCTTTCAGTTTTGGACACTTGGAAACTTGCACATCTTATCGCCTGCGTATTTATTAAAAACAGGAGCTTATATCAGACTACTCTTAGAACTCGTTTGCTTCAATATGGAAAATAAACTTATGGAGAAATGCTTTTGCTTCGATAAAATTTAGATTATTCTACATGAACTCACTCAGAAAAGTACGAAATGGTACTATGGTTTACAAATAGAAAGAACGGCTAAAATGTACGTAGTAGTTCATCGCTTTTTCAAAAGAAAAAATGACAAAATATAACGGCTGACTTTGCAAGTGGAAAAACATTAATATTTTCAAAAAGCAATCACATGAGATCAAATTATTTCAAACCGTATTTCTATTACTCACTTTTGTTCTTTCACACCACCTAAGTCAACATTTTTGCTATTAGAAATTTCATCAGAAACCGGAAGGCTCCAGCATGATTTTACATTGCGATTGCGGTTGTGAATATTACGATTGCAAGTATTATGATTAGGGGTGTGCATATTGGTTTGGTTTAACTGTACTAAACTGAATTAAATCGAAACCGGACCATGTGCAATTCGATTTGAGTTTAATAGTATTTCTTCCAAATTATATTAAACCGAACCGAACCGAAACCGATAAAAACAGAACAAAACCGAACCAAACTAAAGAAATTCAATAAAATCTTAATATTTTATTAACAAATAACAAATCCAAGCTGAACCAAACCGAACTAAACTGAACCAAACCAATTCGAAAAATAGTACTCCGTATGATTTTTGTTTGGTACTAATTCTTCCAAAAATCCAACCTGTTCCAAACCGAAACCAATAAAAGATGAACTGAAAACCAATATGCTCATTCCTAATTATGACGGCTGTGGTGCGAATTCATTTTGCCTTTGAACAAAATAAGAAAAAAAATTAATTTAGTGTTGCGACCTAATGCGGTGTGAATGCAATTGCATTGTGGTTTTTGTCGTGAGTAAAAAAACAATGCAATTGGAGAGTGATACGATTACGCTGTGGGCCGCAAACGCAATATTACAATAGTTTGGAGAGTGATACGATTACGCTGTGGGCCGCAAACGCAATATTACAATAGTAACACGTGTTTCGATTCACAATTTAAAACGGTGTAATCTAGTTTTTTGCAGACCGAATTGGATGACACATAATGAAGTAGTTAGTGCTTAATTAGGGCACTTAATAGGTCGAATTGGATGGCATATAATGAAGAAATTAGTGCTTAATTAGGGCACTTACTAGGTCGAATTGGATGGCACATAATGAAGTAATTAGTGCTTAATTAGGGCACTTACTAGGGTCCTTAGTCGTCGAATTAGCAATGCCATTGAAGCTGCAGGTCCCACCTATGCGTTTAAACTGTGCCCAGTAAGCACTAAAAGCATAGCTGGCATGGCGGATCAGATCGTTCGGCTGGTAACATTTTCCACCGGGTCGGATCGCGTCGCAAGTCCCATTATCCTGCCCGCATGCGTAATCCAATGCGGCGGTCAACGCCGTCTTATTCACGGACTGCGTCGTATTCACCACGCACCACAATTTCCCTCCAAATGGCTTGTTATTCGTAGGCTTCGGAAGCGGCTTGAATTCCGACTCCGGCGTCTTGCCGGACAGATCAATTTCGTACACGTTCGTGCCGTTCGGGTATAACAGCCCGAAATGCCGCTCCGTTCCCGCACCCGGCTTCTGATTCTCGTTGTACAAAGCGAAAATGAACGCCGGCACGGCCACCCCCGGCCTGGCCGGCGTCCCCACCAGCGGCTTCGAGCTGAACTTCTTCACGACATTGCGGTTGTAAGTGGCGGCGTTGTAAATATTCGATCCGATTTGGTCGGGGTCGCCCGCGCTGGGCCAACCCGTTTCCGCGATAAACAGGGGAAGATCCGGGTGCCCGAGTCGCTTCAGGGCGAAATAGACCGAATCAATCATCTGGTCCAACAAATTCGTGTAAGTCAAACCCGAACCCGGATCCGAATACGTCCTATTCGTATGCTTCATCAGAGTGTAGTCAAGGTCAATTTCGTCGGGTTGAGCTGCCCAAGCGAAATACGGGTACACATCGAAGAAGAAGAAGGACCTTGAATCGGCCAAGAAGCTTAGCAGAGGCCGGAAAACGCTATCGGTGATATCCGACCGGAAACTTCCATTCGACGGCGGAAACGACGTCTCCAACATATCCATCGCCAGAGGGGTACCCACTTTGACCTTGTGGAGCCGATATTTCCGGACGGATCGTCGGAGATTGCGCATAGCGGGGACGAGCTGGAACCAGGTACTGTTTGGCTGGCTGCTCAGAATCTCATTTCCGACTAGGAGGTGACGGATCATGGTCCGAGGGTAAAAGGGGACGAGATTGGTGTGAACCCACTGGTCTGTGAAGGTCTGGCTGGAGGAGACATTGGGGATGAGTTCGTTGGGGAGCATGACGGAGACGTGGAGGTCGGATCCTTGAAGAGATTTGAGGATATCTGGGTTGGCATCGTAGATCTTGACCTGCTCCGCCTTGAGGCCATTAATGAGCTCCACGGATTTTGCAGGGACGTGAAGATCATTCCCCAGTTGACCGTAGCATATTCCTATTCCACGGGTAAGTTCTGCTCCTGAAATTCATAAATGAAGAAGAACAATAATCAATAAATGAGTTCGATAAGACTAGTTCCAAAACTGCGAGTTTAATTACTTGATACTTACCGGAATAGGACACTAAGTCGAAGAGAGAAAGCAGAAGAAAAAAACAGAGGAAGGCCATATTCAAGGAGCCTTTTCTTCAGGGAAGAGTAATCCTGTTTACTAGACTATATAAGAATTCCGTATGTGTACACTGTACAGTATACATCCACTATCTTATCAAATTCAACTAGTAGTACACCATACTACAGCTAATTTTAAAGACAAAGGTATGATGAGAATATTATTACTAATTAAGGCTTTAAACATACTCCGTACTAATTAAGGATTTACTAGAATATTTTCTTTAATAAAATAAAGTTGTAGAATACTTATGAAGTAATTATTATCTTAAATGGGACAAATGTAATTCCAAAGAGTACTACTAATCACTTAAAGATTGTTGAAACGAGGTGATGCTAAACCTGAACTTAGCACTTGCTTTTGGAATCTCTGTCTAAGTACATGTGAAGGCTTTGTGACCAGTTACAGGTAGCGGAAATAAAGTTTCCCACAAAGGCTTGTGACCACTTGCTCTATGTCTTTTACAATCGGGTAAAGAGAAGAGGCAGTAGTGTTCGAGACTGATGAGGGAGGAAGATAAGGGCTAATTACTGAACCACATATGGCTATGGTTAGGGGTGTGCACGGGTCGGGTTCGGGCGGGTCGGGTTTGCGAACCCTAAACCCGTTCGAGTTTTTTAATTTAAATACTAGGCCCGACCCTTTGATATTTCAAATCGGGTATTTCGGATATTTTTAAGTCGGATATTATCGGATATCGGGTCGGGTTTCGGATATTTCGGTTATATTAAAAAAAATTATAATTGGATAATTAAAGTGTTTAAATGTCACTTTGACAAAAATTGTACACAATAGTGCACTAAACTTCCAAATTACACAAATAATTTAACACAAATTGCACAAATAATTACACAAATAATTGAACACAAGTATTAATTAACATATTCAAAGTACACACTACATCATTTAATATATTTCGGATATTTTGGTTATATCAAAATACATTATAATTGGATAGTTAAAGTGTTGGAATGCCACTTTAACAAAATTGTACACATTCAATTTACACAAATAATTTAATACAAATTGCACAAATAATTACACAAATAATTGAACACAAGTATTAATTTAAATATTCAAAGTACACACTAACATATATTTCAGATATTCGGGCGGGTCGGGTTGGGATTTCACAAACCCTACCCGCCACCCGGTCTAGGCCCAATACTAATCGGATTTTTGGTTTCGGGTTTTTTGGGTCGGATATCCACTTCGGTTCGGATAATATCCGAAAAAAATATCGGGTTTTTCGGGTCGGATCGGGTTTTGCTCAGCCCTAGCTATGGTTGGTACGTATGAGGGGAAGATTATTTGAATCATATTTTGGCGGACACCTTGGCTGCAGTTAGAAAATTATTTGAATCATATTATGGCGGATGAGCCATGGTTATTAGATCATAACCTTTTAAGAGGGGAAGATTTACTGCTTAAAGTTCCCGGTTCATGCAGGATTGTGAATGAAAGTGCATGATCTTCTTATGAGATTACGATGAACAAGGTGGCTATGTTCGCAGATTTGTTTGCGTTGAGGAGTATCATTTTGAATGGGCATGGAAGATCTACCGTCTATGTGAGATCACGAGTTTTACTGGATATGGAAAATCTTTGAAGAGACGTGAATGTGATTCGCTGCGAGAGAGAAAGTGCAAAGCCTATGCTTCCTGGATGTGATTGAACTGTATGGAAAAGGAAGGTTCGTGGTAGGAAATAAACGGCTAGTGTCTGAAAGGGGATAGGGGGTAGCACAGGCAATGAAGGTGAAGAAGTTAAGCAGGTGGGAGGAGAGGGACACCCTTTAACGAGACCGCAAGGTGTGGGACTGGTGATGAAAGAATGTGGTATTGGATGGCATCTCCAATGATCCAGAGGGGAGATAAAGGAAAAGAGGATACTAACTAACTTATTAATGCAGGAGCACACAATAGAGGGAGAGATTTCGAGAAACTGGGACGAACAGAAGCGCAGTCGGATGAAGACGAACGAAGAGTTCAGATGTAGCGGTATGGAGAAAGAGCAGAAGGAAACAAAAAATGAAGAGCAGATGGGCAATGTGGGTTCGCTGCGTGGAATACTAGTTATCTCTCTGCATAATGTTACCTGAGTGAAGTCAGGGTGCCTACCGAAGATCCTATGGTATAGGTAAAAGTGGTGCAATGCAAATACATATTGTTCGTGTCAAGCTGATTGAGATGGTTTTGCGGGCTTAGTCACACCAAGGGGAGGTGTTTCAAGACTTGGTGTTGATGGCTCAGTATTTTTAAATCCTTGTAGTTACTCTTCTCGCTTCGCGCCTTCAGGGTTACTGCTTCAAATTTTGAGCATTGTGTTTTTTTTTAGTTCGATGCACTTTGATAAACACGATATGGGTGGTAAGGGTTTTTGAATCAATTAGCCTACCACTGCGGTGCATCTTTCCTTCTAGTTTGGACAGGCAAATTAGCCAAACAAAACTTCTTGCTAGAAAGGAAAAAAAATTGAATTAAAATGGTAATTACCAAATTTGAATTGATATTGTTTAATTTAGTATATGTATTTTATTTAATGCTTTTGCTTTGTTGATTTCAAAAAACGTTTAATTTTCTCATGAAATATTTAAAGTTGATATTTTTCAGTATGTATGTGCTGCTAAAAAATTTTATTCCTTATTTTTTTATTTACAAAATACATATTTTTGTACGAATTTTAAAAATATGCATTTTCAAATTATGCTCGTTATAATAATAATAACACTTATAATTTAAGGGTTTAAAAATATCATTGCATTTTCCGAATTTGAAAATATTTCAAAATGAGTATTGTTTTTATCACTCCATATATTATAAATCAATTCATTCAAAATGTTTATTTTCATATATTGATTGATTTGTGGGGCATATTCAAGAGGCAAACATTGTGGTTAACTATTGGACTATCTTTTTTTAAAGGCTAAAGGGTCAAATAGACCCTTGAACTGACTTAAAGTGTTCAATTAGCCCCATATATAAGAGGTTTTGCCCGGCCGTCATCAATTGGGGTGGTTCCCGGTGGAATTTTTTGATGAAATTTTTTTAGCATCTTCTTCATTAAGTTTAGTTTACTCATACCAAATTTCAGCTAAAAATTAAACCGTAAAGGCAGTCAAATGATTTTTTGAAGATAATTGCGAAGTTAAATAGTGCAGTACATTTTGGAAAATCATTTGACTGCCTTCCCGTTTGATTTTTTAACTGAAATTTGGTATGGATAAACTAGACTTAATGAAGAAGATGCTCAAAAAATTTCATCAAAAAATTCCACCGGAAACCGCCCCAATTAGCGACGGCCGAGCAGAACCTTCTATATAAGGGGCTAATTGAACACTTTATGTCAGTTGAAGGCCTATTTGACTCTTTAGCCTTTTTTAAACTATTGGATTGTAACATTCCTGAAAATGAATTAGTTAGAAAAAGTTGATGTGGCAAGCATAGCTATAATGTGTTTTTTTTCTCATCAAAACGGTTTTTCATTAATATAGAGCAAACATGCAAGACAAAATCTAGACAGTTATTACAGATCCAATCGTAAACACTAGGAATAGACTTAGAGTCAGTCACTCAAACAAAGCAACCTGACTCGCTAGACACAAAACGGGCAAGAAGAAGCCTAAAACTGTCACGCCCCGGACCTGTCCGGACACGTCAACAACCTGTCGTACAGTACGAATAGTTAACCGCAGTCCAACACATCCATACCATATGAGGCATCTGGAATATCATTCACACGTAGTACATTCATAAACAAACATAATGTAAAATATTCATTAAAGCAGAAAACAGTAATACAAGTGTTCAAGCCACATTTGGCAAACTTGGGCATACAAGCCCCCAAATAATTTTCCGGAAAATATTATTCATGAGCATTATTCATATTATTTTTAAAATAGGAACATAAGAAGCACGAACCAAGTCTTCTTCCCTTGATCTCCCCAAAGCAACAGGTGGTGGTAGCAACCTTCAAGTTCTACCTGAAACTGTGAGGTGGCCTCCCCCGTGAAGGGGGGGTCAGTACTTTGAAGCATTTGAAAAGTACAATGACAACTACACTGTATATAATCAAAGTTTCAATTTCTAAGACCCTCAATCTAGGGTGATATTATATTATAGGTCGTAACCCTTCGTTACCCTGTTCGAAAATATACTTACTTTATATATAAAGTCAAGTAGCCTGCCCGTGAGCCCATATTAGTTTTGGAAAACGTCCATCTCTATTCCCCCGTGACCACAAGTCACGATTATCACAAACACTTAATAAATCGTTATGTCGTTCTAGGGCTTCACCCTAACGCGTTATTACAATATAGTTGAACCACGTTCCTTTATTATCGTTTCACCGCGCTAGAGCCTTGCTCGTAGTCGCACTACTTCATGCTAGAGTCTTGCTCCTAGTCATACTACATTAAGCTAGAGCATTGCTCATAGTCACATTATGTTGTCCTAGAGCTTGCTCTTAGTCATCCCACGTCGGGCTAGAGCCTTGCTCTTAGTCACCGCTACGACGTGCTAGAGCCTCGCTCTTAGTCACGTTATAAATTCTCTAAGCAATTCCTTAGCCTAGACTCAATTCATTTTGAGTAGCCTTTAAGGTATACTCCTAACATAACTTAGAGCTCATACAATTTCACCTTAAAGTGTCTCTTAAGACTACTTAAGGCATGACTCCTCACAAATCCAATATCTTAGGATTTATTAGTTCATTTATTTGTATTATCATCCCGACTAGTATTTCAATAATAGTCGCCTAACATTAGAACAACCACGCTTCTCATTTCATAGTCATGTAGTTCATTTCAATTGATTTTACAATCCAAATATAATTTAATCTTAATATAAAAAATATCACTTTTATCCATTCATGAATTCTATACATGAAGTAAAAGTATATTTTACCACAATAATTCACAATAGATACAACCATCATGCCATCGTATTCATAACACATAATCATACACAATTTATTCATAAATTTTTATATCATGCATTTTCTACTCATAGACAATAATATTTTCATTTAGGCATTATTAATCATTAATAATCCATGAAAATCACATTCTTACTTCCTTAGGTAACCTTATGAAATTAACCCAACAATTATAAGCAATATAGTCAGTCATCCTCACCTTATGAAGTACTACAATAGTTGCCTTTGTTAAGCCATTCGATCAATCCCCCTTCTAAATCGATTGAAAGCAAAAATCTTGACTGTAGGACAAAAGCCGACCGGCTTTTGTGGAAGCTGGGCGTTGTTCGTCTGTCTGCAACACGGGCAGCTCCCTTATTCTTGGCGGTTTCCAGCGATTTCAACTCCTATCGATTCCACGACTCTTCTAAGTTAAATACCACCACTTTATAACAATATTCTACCCTTTTAAACGTGTAGAACCTCATGTTTAATCTACTATATGATTTCTTAAAAAACATACACAAAAACTAGTTAAAGAATATAGGTAGAGTTCTTACCTTGAACACAAACTATTTCTTGTGGATTTCTCCTTGAGAGCTTTGGTTTTCCTTGAGCTCTCCTCTCTTGTGCTGGCCGAAATATGCAATGATAGGCGGGAGACATCTCCTCTCAATCAATTAGAAAAGATGCCATGGGTAGGACAAGGGGGTATGGCCATTTTGTCTATAGGAGACTTCTTCCCCTTCTAGTATGTATCAGCACACCAAGTTGTCCCTCTCTCTTATTATTTGAGAGTCTAAAGAGTATAGAATACCCCAAGTGGGTGTAGGAAGTCCCCCCATCATTATTACTATTTTTGGCAGGTTGGGTCAAAAATAGCACTTGGGTTGTCCAAACATTTTCCTCAACTTTAGTTGGCATTTTATAATTATTACGATGACCCAACTAAATATTTAGTAGTCCATTCTCATTATTATGGGCCCGATAAATAATTTAATTAATCATTCATTAATTAAATATAACATTCTTTTACTCAAAGATGCTCACTAGGAAAATTCAAATACATGTAGATTTTTAAATTCAAGTACATCTGGGTGCGGTGTCACAAAAACCATCAAAAATGAAGTACTGCCTATCAAGAGTTCTTCAAAAATAAAAATACTCCAAAAATATATGCTCGAACTGATATAAAAATAAGTACTACGAAAGGAAAAATAATAAGAAAATAAAAACTTTCCCCAAATTGCTTCCTTGCACGAAGGTGGTTCCGAAGGAGGGCGAGCTACTGTAGTATGGTAGAAGAGAATTTCAACCCCCGGAAAATTCGTCTGAAACCCTATCCTTCTTGCGCTCGCCAATTTGCTCCTTGAGATTTGCCATTGAAATCCATATCCGAGGTGCAGAAGAAAACTCTATCATTTTGCCTTGCGTTTCTTCGCGCACAAAAAATCCAAACCGCACTCCACCGCCCTTGCGTTCCACTCACGTTCCGAAACTCCAAAGAGGAAAACCGCATGAAGCTCTCGTTCCACGAAAAAACCAGACGCACGAACGAAGATCGATCGACGGAACAAAAAAAAACTCTTACTAGTGTAGGGAAGACGGCCGCTCCTCAAAAGAGTCGATAGCAGAGAAGAAAACCCTAGCGGTGAAAATCCACCCTAGAGAGATAAAAGTTTGATTGCTTCACAGCATCGCAGCTCAAGACACGCCGTAGCTATAATGTGTTTAGCTAGTCATTGTTGATAATGAAAGAAAAATTTATTTAGAAAATTCTTAAAAAGGCATACATGAATGACTTTAAAGAGAGGATAGAGTATATAATTTATATTTACATATATTCTACATCCACTTTTCAGATAAAATATGGGAAAAGTTCCGAAATAAGAGTAAAAAGTTTGAAAATTCCAAAATAGGATTGTCATGTTTTTATTCTCAAAATACTGCCAAGTCTAAAAATACTACTATATTTAAAATTTGATACTGCCAAAACATGATAACATATACTCCCTCCGTCCCATTTATATTGTCCCGCTTTACCTTTTCGGGAAGTCCCACTTAAATTGTCTCTTACCATATTTGGCAAAGTTTGTATGGTTCTAAATCATTCTTACTTTATTCTTACTTTATCAATTAATATCAACCACACAAACTCACTTTTCTTAATAACTGTGTCACCCTCTTCCGTCCCAATATAAATGGGACGGAAATAGTAATTCTATTTTGAAAATAAAAGCATGATAGTATTATTTTGAAATAGGCTTTGAAATATTCAAATGTTTGAGTGTCAGAGTACTATGACTCGACAGTTTGAACTTACCTACGTAACTAGTGTAGCATAAGAAGAACAATGGTTTTACTTTTACTTTTGTAATAATTACATAAGGAGATGTCAAACGTGACCTAAATATGTTATTTCTCAATATATGAATGGAAGTATAACATCATAACACATTAGATGTCAATGATTTGTATCATAAGAATCATTAACACGCAATGAAATTAGTATTAATAATTTCTATTTTATACTTCCTCCGTTCTTTTTTAGTTGCAACGGTCAACATTTCACACTTGCCAACGCACA